ACTAACCCTAGGGGTAAATTCTAGTTAGTAAGTGCACTTAGCATATCCGTGGAGCGGTTCGCATTTAGAAGTTAGCTTCGGGCTATGGTCGTCTACCAAAGTCCTAGGGATTCGTTGGTTCACGCGTTTAAGAACACGAACGTCAACGATCTTTTTCGAGAACATGAGACTGGCTTGGGTGGGTTTTGGTGTTCTCGACGGGGTACGTAAAACTCGTTTACGCGTCACGTTTAAGAAGGTACACATTGGACTCCCACGTAGTACTTATATTATCCGAATGGTTCTGACCGAGGTGCGTGCAATAGTTGTAAATCATAGTTGCGTCCTTCGTGCTGTTGCGAATTTTAATTAGTGATGTTTAATTAAGGTCACTCGAGGGCTGCAACACCTTAATAGTATTGAGCTGAAAAACCAGGGGTACTGGGGAGATGGTGATCAGTTCTCAGAATGATGTCATAATAAGAGTCAGTTTGAGGTACGCGATGTGGACTCGTGACACCCTGCCAAGTTGTCTCAGCCGCATTAAATAATGACTGGGTAGCCTTGTAACGTTCTCGTAGATATTCTGTTTTGATGGTAAGGTGCGACTAAACCCGATGCGTCTTACACCATCGCTAAGTAGGTGGGAATATGCCACGAATGCTCTGTAGTAAATTACCTTTTTGCTTTCCTGGTGGTAGAGGCTCGAGCGCTCGGTTCAACCTTGTCTCCAGAGCGTCGGTGCCCGCTATCACTCCTGTACTCTTCGGCTGGAGCCTATACTGGCGAGCATGTCGCAAGTGCTGAGTAACAGCGCTCCCTTAAGAATAACCGTTAATACTAGCGAATAAGGTAAAGTGCTCGTTGGCTAAAAGGACTTTATCAGCCTTACGTCTGGGAACCCCACTCGAATCCGTCATCGGAGACGAAAACAGGCAAGGTGACAGCAGGCTCGTGGCGTTATTTGAAATCGGCCGTGAATACCCTCCGTTCCCTTCCTACCAACCCCTTCGTTGACTGCTGATTTCCGGGAATTGCCTTAAATATGTGTTGACACGGGTCAGGTTCGGAATAAACAGGGCCGGTTTCAAGGTCTCATGTGCGGAACGCATGAACGTTATTCTTTTTTTAAATACCGCCCAATTGCCAGCTGACTGACGGGCTCCTGGAGCTGACTGGTAAATCAGCGCCTCCCTCATTATACTACATTTTATGAGCTTGAGTCGCTCCTGACGCACCAATAGGTTTGCTCTGGAAGGTAACCGACTGACAGAATTACTTGCTCCTCCCGATTAGTATTTTAGATTGACTGGAACACGGAGATTTAAATTGCGCTGGCTCTAACCAAATGTGACCTTAAAGGCATACTCACAGAATTGAAATGCGAGCCAATACCACAGCGGGCTGGCGCTGGAGTAGGGACCCGGTCTTGTGTAGTACGCGAAGACGGTGTTTCGCTTCGTCTGCTACAGCGTTCTTATCTGGATTTGCTCGTTTTGGCATTATCTGGCTACCG